ATCCCCAGCCCCTCTGTCTAAACTTTAAAGCATTTGAGGTGCCCACTTAAGTATTGCTGAAGTAGCAGAACAGTTTCTTACATAAACAGGTTATTGTGTAATATTTACTTAATAGTATTATTACATAATAATGTCATTATCTCCCTTTGTTTCATTATATTCCACATTCCAGCAGTGTATTTGTTGTGAAGATGTGCACCTTCACGTGCAGTACTTAATGTTTGAGAGCATATGGGATCAGAAATGCCATTGCGTGAATTGTGAGACAAGTTGCACTGTTTCTCAGTAGGTTTGTATGTAAAGTTCTGATGAATTTTCTGGAAGCTAATGGAAGGTTAGTGGAAGTGCAGCCAAATGATGTTTTACATGAGAATTAGGAAAATTGAATTCCTTCAGAAAAGGAACCACATTAATTAAAATAGTGTTTGAGTGTTTGTATGTTGATTTTAGATTCTGCTAGAATTGTCTATGGACTTCTTTTTTCTAAAAAACTTTATTGTGGCACTGGGGATTGAAACCAGGGCTTCGGGAGGTGAGTGCTCTACCCTGAGCTGCATCCCCCGTCCACCCATAGCGTGTTTTGTTGTCAGCTGGTTTTACTGTGTAGTGTAGGCCGCCCTTGAACTCGGGAATTCTCTCCATACAGCCTCCCGAGTGCTGGGATTGCAGGCACGCTCTGCCATGCCCCCTCACCTGTACTATTCTTGAAGATAAGACTGACTGCTGTTTGGCTGGGGTTACAACTGGTAAAATACTTGCTAGGTCTGCTGAGGGTTTGATGTTCAGTACTACGAGGAAACTGCTGCTGTTCATGTTTTCACGGAGATCGATTTAATAAAAGGTGGTCAATTACAGCCTGTATGATCCCAGCTGTCTGGAAGACTGAGGCAGGAAGATCACAAATTCAAGCTCAGACTTGACAATTTAGCCAAGACCCTGTCTGGAAATGAAAAAGGTCTGGTGTTCAATCCCAGTACTGAAAAAAAAAAAATCATAGCCATGTACTAGCTTTTGTCTAAGAGACAGAGTATTAGCTGTCAGTCTTAGCCTTGGTCATCTGAGCAAGTTGCTGTAATCTGTCTCATACTCACGCTTTAGTCTTTGGGTTTTCCTTAATTTTTGAACAGGTACCCCTGAGCTGGGCTGGTGCTTCATGTCTGTAATCCCAGAATTTAGAATTTATCCATAATCTCATCACTTGGGAGGCTGAGGCAGATAAGAGAATGGTAGATTTAAGGCTAGCCCAGCGATTTACCAAGATCCTGTCTGGAAATTTTTTTTGTATATGTGTGTTTTTGAGACAGTGTCTCAATATGAGTTCAGGCTGGCCTTGAGCTCACGTTGTAACTCAGGCTGGTCTTGAGCTCACAAAGGTCCTCCTGCCTCAGCCCTCCCTAGTGCTAGGATTACAGGCGTGCGCCTCACACCTGGCTCGAAGAGAAGGTCCTAGATTCAGTACCAGTGCCACAAAAAATGATGGCGATACCTTAAAGTTCCTAATACACTAGGTAGCCTAGGAAATGTTACCTTCTAACTCCTTCCTCTTCTAGCTCACAGCCTCAGTAAGAAGTGTCACTTGGTGGTTGGCCTTGCAGTTGAGTGTTTGGCTTAGTCTTTGCCAAAGGGTCCTGCCTCCTGTTCTTTATTTCTTGTCTAATAATATTAATATCTTTTGTCTGTTGATTTTTTTATTTTCTTTCACATGAATATTCTTTATCTGTTAAAAATGTTCTGTCATTTGAGCTTTGTCTAGCTCCCTTTTTTTTTTTTTGGTACCTGGACCAGAAAAACTCAGGACCTTGCACCTGTCAGACAGGCGCTTGTGCCACTGAGCTATATCCCCAGTCCATCCTTTTTTTTGTTTGAGCTTTCCTCCAAGCTCTGTAGTTTGCTATCTAATATTTTTCACCGGTACTCAAAAATTTGTTTATTGGTTGTATTAAAATGAAATGAAAAAAAAAGTAATGTACTGGTTATTTTGTAATTGACTTTGGCTTTCTGACAATGGTTTTGCAGTTGTACTTGTTTTTAATAAATGTGTTTCTTTTGTAGACTCACATTTCCAGTCAGAACTCAGAGCTGAGCAGTGCTGCTCTTCAGGCCTTGGGCTTTTGCTTATATAATCCCAAAGTTACTTCAGGGTTATCAGGTAGATACGTTTATTATGACCATTAATGCTAAGTTTAAACTAAATTGTGTTGGCAGTACTATTATCACTGGGTTAGTTTCATAATTTATAGTTTAGGATTTGCTTTTGAGAAAGAAATAATCAGATTGTCATTCCCTAGACACAGTTCAAAGTTTGGTACTGTAAGATGTGGTAGAGAAATAAGGCTGTTTGCTGGGTGTAGTTGCGCACGCCTGTAATCTCAGCACCCGGGAGGCTGAGGCAGGAGGATCCTTGCGAGTTGGAGACCAGCCTGAGCTACAAAGTGAGCTCAAGGCCAACCTGAACTGCATAGTGTGACTGTCTGAAAAAGACAAAAAAAAAGAAGGCTGTTTAAGTATGGTTGTAAACTGGGATTACAGTTTAGTGGTAGAGTTTACAAGGCCCCATGTCCGGTCTCCAGTACATGTGACTGCTGTGCAGAGGGAACGTTTTTTAAAGCAGGCATGTCTTACTTTGGAAGAGAGTAATGAATTACCTGGTTTTCAGGTGTGTGTCCTGAGGCGCATGCTGAATTCAGTCACAGTGATGGTAGCTGTGGTGTAATTCAGAACTGAAAGTGGGATTGAGAGTACAGAACCCGACACCTTCCATGTGTGAAGCAACGCTGCTCATGTAGTTAGTAGTTTGTCACTGTAAAGGAAATGGGGGGGGCATCTTTAGAGAGGGTCAAGAAGTTACCTTTCTTTCCCTGAAAGGTTGCTGTTTACTCTTTACGTATAGAAGTGAGGACGACCTAAAGTAGTTCGTCTTGGAGCAGATTTGTGGGATTTATTTTTCTGAGACAGGGTCTTGCTATGTAGTTCAGGCTGACCTTAAACTCACTGTCTAGCCCAGGCTGGCCTTGAACTGTCAGTGATCTTCCAGTCTCAGCCTCCTGAATGCTAGTAAAGGCGGACGCCACCGTGCCAGGCACTTGCGGAATTTACACATTGGCAAAAATGGCCTTACATGTTCTTAGTTAGGCTTCGAGTTATTTCAGTTGTATGACGTGTCTACTTGCACCCTATAACTTCAGTTTGTTTTCTCTGAATGCACTTTCCTCTGCTTTGTATTTTATATTTTGGAAAGTTTGCATTAGCACTGGCTCTCTGATCTTTCTTTGGATATAGATTTAGTTTTTTGAATGGACAGTTTGTTGTTATTCTTTGATGTTTGAAATTTTAAACAATTGTAAAGTATTGCAATAATTAAATTTAAAATTCCTTGCTTTTTAGAAGCAAATATGCAAGAGCTGCTTTCACAGTTGAATGATATTGTTAAAAGTTCAGACAAAAATGTACGTACCAGGGCTCTTTGGGTAATATCCAAACAGACGTTTCCCACTGAAGTTGTTGGCAAAATGGTGAGTATAGCTTCTGTTTGTCTTAAGTATATGCCAATTAAAACATCGAGCCTATTTGATCCGTATTTATTTGGTTCTGTCTTTTAGGTATCCGCTATAATTGATACATTAGAAATAGTGTTTAATAAAGGAGAGATACATTCTGCTGTTGTTGATTTCGAAGCATTAAATGTTATCATAAGGTATGCTGTGGGGCACTGTGTAAATTGCAGTGATTGCTTTCCTTGGTTTCGACTTTACTTTAAGGATTACACGTAGGCTTGGTGGCACACACCGTAATCCTAGAAATTAGTAATTCCAGTACTCGGGAGGCCAATAAAGTCAGACTGGGCTACAACAGTGAGTTCACAACCTGCCTGAAATACATAGCAAGACCCTCTCTCAAAAAAGCAAAAATAAAATCAAATTGCTTTAGGGCTTGGACTTCGGGATTTATTTTTTGTGGTGCTGGGGACTCAACCCAGAACCTTGCACATGTGAGGCAAATACTGTATCACTGCACTATACCCTAGCTGGCTTTTGGGATTTAAATGAAAGACATTAAAGGAAGGGAATATCTTTTAGACCACACTATTAAAAGAACAGGAAGGTAACAAGATGGATATAGATGTCCATAGATTGCTGAATTTGTTTATATTTACTTTTTTTTTTTTTCTTTCTTTTGGTCTTTTTGAGACAGGGTCTTGCTATGCAGTTCAGCCTGGCCTTGAGCTCACTTTGTAGCCTAGGCTGACCTCAAACTCGGAATGATCCTCCTGCCTCAGCCTCCTGAGTGCTGGGATTACAGGTGCCCAGCTTACTGAGAAGTCTTAAAAAGTAAAGTTTTGTTATGCTCCTGCTGATAAAAGGCAGCTCTGGGGCTGGGGATTTAGCTCAGTGGCACAGCGCCTTTCTGGCAAGCGCGAGGTCGTGTTTGATTCCCGGTACCGGAGGAAAAAAAAAATGGAAAGGCAGCTCTGATTTTAAAGTTATCCATGCTAAAGTTTTTGCAAGAATTTAAAAAGTACAATTTGTAAGTGGACTAAGGGGCTGCTTAGGAAGATAGTGCTTGCCTCTGGGGGAACAGAAAAATGCCTTAGATTCTTCTTATTCTTCCCTCCTCTTTAACAAGCTCATGATACAAGCTGTTTTATTTTCAAAGTTTTCTTCAGTTGAGCTGTCTGGTATTCGGATGCTTGTATCATGGTTCACCGGCTATCTTCTCTAAGAATGTTGCATTTCAAGCCAGGTGTGGTGGGGCAGACCTGTAATCCCAGCACTTGGGAGGCTGAGGCAGGAGGATCACAGCAAGTTGGAGGTCCTGCCTGAACTGCAGAGTGAGACCCTGTCTCAAAAAAAATGTTCAGTTCGGTAGTTTAACAATAACTGGTATTTTAAAATTTTTTCTTTTTGGTCTTTTTGAGATAAGGGTGTTGTCATGTAGTTGGGGCTTTTGACCTCATTGTGTAGCACAGGCTCCTCTTAAACTCAGTGACCATCTGCCTGCCTCAGCTTCCTAAGTGCTTGGATTACAAACATGTGCCACTGGCCTGGGGAAGTAGCTCAGTGGCATAAGCACCTGCCTGGCAAGCACAAGGTCATGAGTTCAATTCCCAGTACCACAAAAAAAAAGAAAAAAAAGTGCTACCATGCCCAGCTAACTAAAGACAAGGCCACGTGTTTTCCTTATTTAAAAATTTCATAAAAACAGACTGGAGGCTTTGCTCAGTGATGGAGCAGTTGTGCTGCATGCACAAGGCCCTGACTTAAGTCCCCAGCACCCCCCAAAAAATTCTAGAGACCTTACAGAAGTATACAAATTAGCAAGTGTCTGTATGCACAGTGTGTGTATTCCAAAGCCAGTGGGCGTGGAGCGCAGAAGAGCCTGCTTTTACGGCTGTGTGCTCTTTGCTGTGTTACTTACAAAGTGAGGCTCATCTAACCATTGACGACTCTTACTCAACAGGTTAATCGAACAAGCCCCAGTTCAGATGGGAGAAGAGTCAGTGAGGTGGGCAAAACTGGTCATACCTTTAGTGGTTCATTCAGCACAGAAAGTACACTTGCGGGGAGCCACTGCTCTGGAGATGGGAATGCCATTGTTGCTTCAGAAACAACAAGAAATAGCATCCATTACAGAGCATCTTATGACCACTGTAAGTATTACATTGGGTAGGGATTTTCTGAATACTGCGTTGGATGTTCTGTACTTAAGCTAAGTTGAAAATTCAGTCTGGGCTTGGGGCTGGGGATTTAGCCCAGTGGCACAGCGCCGGCCTGGCAAGTGCAAGGTTTGAGTTCGATTCCCGGTACTGGAAAAAAACCAAAAAAAAAAAAAAAAATTCAGTCTCGGCTCATGTCAGTATAACTGCACTGTGATCTAGGACTTAAGCTTTGAATCAAAACAGTAAAGACTTGTTGAATTTCATGTACACAGAAGTTTGTTACGGTCCAGATACAGTATTTTGTCCCATTCCCAACGAATAGTGAATAGAAAGTGATAACATTATTGAAAATGAATAGTAACTAATTTAGTCCTGTTGGGGTTGGGTTATAGCATAATATCAGTAGATGCAAACTAACTCACGAAAATTCACCTAGTCTGTTGAATTTCCTGTTCATGATTTGCTTCACTCTCAGGGTTATCAGCCTGTATTCTCACAGCATGCATTGGGCATGTGTTACGTGCAGTGCGTTGTTCAGGTCCTGGTAACTGCAGTGTGAAACGAGGGCTTATCGCAGTGCTTACGTCCTGGTGTAAAGAGATGAGGTGGACAGTGTTAAGTGAAAGCCACTCTGTAGCGGCAGGGACAAGAGAGACGGAGTGATGAAACGGTCAAGGCAGATTAAAAAGAAAGACATTAGTACAGTGAGGGCAGACCACCTGGAGACCAAGTGCTCATGCTGCAGCCCACCCACACTCAGCTGCCGGGCGACTGGGCTCACATGCAGCAGAGAGGGCTCTGTGTGCCCTCTGCAGTTCTGTGCCCTGAGCTTGCCACCACTGCATGAGGACCGTGACTGCAAGGGAGTAGGGAGTTGCTATGGGCAGTGTGGGTACATTCCACGAGGGCAAGAGGGCCTGCTCTTAAGTTGTGTGCCAGCCGGTGTTTGGTGAACTCCACGGGCAGTGTGACTGGACGGAGTGGAAGGTGACCTCAGAGGAGCGGAGGCCACAGAACATGGGGGACCATTGTTTGTACTTTTTTTTTTTTTGTCTTTTTGAGACAGGGTCTTGCTGTGCAGTTCAGGCTGGCCTTGAGCTCACTTTGTAGCACAGGCTGGGCTCAAACTTGGAACGATCCTCCTGTTTCAGCCTCCTCAGTGCTGGGATTACAGGCGTGCGCCACCACGCCCAGCCATTGTTTGTACTTTGTACGTGGTATTGGAGATTGGACTCGGAGTGCTGAGCTATATCCTTAGCCCTTTATTTTTTATTTTTCTTTGCAGTGCTGGGACTACACTAGGATCGTGCACATGGTAGGGAAGTAGTGTACCACTAAGCTATGTCCCCAGTGTGTCCCGCACCACTGTTTTTGTTTTTCCAGACAAGGTCCTGTTAAGTTGCCAGGTGGGGCTCAAACTTGAGGTTCTCTTTTCTTCCTGTTCGTTCTTTTTTTTTTTCTTTTTTGGAGAGACAGGGTCTCGCTATGCAGTTCAGGCTGGCCTTGAGCTCAGTTTGTAGCCCAGGCTGGTCTCCAGCTCTCAAGAATCCTTCTGCTTCAGCATCCCGAGTGCTGGATTACAGGTGTGCGCCACCACGCCCAGCTCTTTCTCTCTTTTTGAGACAGGATCTGACTAAGTCTGTCCTTCAGTGTCTTTTTTTGGCTTTCTGAGATGAGAGTTCACTGTCTTTTTTGAGATGAGGTTTCAGGTTGGTGTGAACTCACTTTGTACTCCAGGCAGGTCTCCTCTTGAAGCAGTCCTCCTGCCTCAGCCTGCTGAGTGCTGGGATTGCAGGTGTGTGCCACTATGCCTAGCCAGGCTCTCCTTTGAGCTTCCTGAGTAGCTGGCATGACATGTGAACCACTGTGTTGAGCTTTATTCTCTTTTTATCCTTTGGTGCGGGGAATCAAACTCAGGACTTTGCACTTACCAGGCCAGGCGCTTGCGCCCCTGAGCTGTATCCCCGGCCCGTTATTCTCATTTTAATGGGCAGTCCTATTTGAATACTTTGAACCTGGATATAATACATGTAGCTCAGATTTTATTATATATTTTGTGGCACTGGGGATTTTTTTTTTTTTTTTGGTTTTGGTTTTTCTCCAGTACCAGGAACCAAACTCACGACCTTGTGCTTGCCAGGCAGGCGCTTTGCTGCTGAGCTAAATCCCCAGCCCCAGGCACTGGGGATTGTATCCAGGGTCTTCTGCACTGTTTTAACATTGTTTATTTTGAAATAAGGTATTAAGACACCAAGTTGTAGCCGGGTGTGGTGGTGCACACCTGTAATCCTAGCACTCAGGAGGTGAGGCAGGAGGATTGCTGTGTTTGAGGCCAGCCTGGGCTACAAAGTGAGTCCAAGGCAAGCCTGAACTACATAGTAAAGACCCTGTCTCAAAAAAAAAAAAAAAAAAACCTAGTTGTTCATGTAAAGTAGTCATTCTGGCTGTGTTCAGAATGTGGGTGCTTGAGCAGGAGCTGGGAGTATGGGTGATGAGACACAGTAATCTGGGCAGTGAGGGAGCCCTCTGCCTTGGAAACCTGTTCGTTCGTTTGTTTGTTTGTTTGTTTTAACTTGGAAGGCCTGTTTGTAACGTAAGTTCAGTGTTTGGTTTTTTGAGACAAGGTCTCACTGTGTCCAGGCTGGCCTCAAACTCACTACGAAGTGTCCAGGCTGACATCTAAATTGGTGATCCATCTGCATCAACTTTTAGGATGCTGAGATTGAGAGGCATGCACCATTATTCCTGGCTGTTTATACATTTAAGTGGTTTTGGATATTGGTTGTCCATGAAACTAACGATACGTATTTTTTAATTAGTGTGAGATTAGTATATGATCATTGGAGCTTTAGTTAATAATGTACATGCTGAAATTTTTAGGAGAGAATATTCTGGTAGGAAAAAATAAACTAGGTTGATGTATGGTGGAATGGCCAAATAAGTGATAAATGTTATATGTCAATATATGTTAATAATATATGTTAATTATATATGTTAATAATATATGTTAATATATACATTGAGTCTTTTTTTGTTGAATGTATACTGTAAAACTTTTTGGATTTACTGTGTGCTTTAAAGCTTTGCTTGCTTTGTGGGGAGGGTGGTATGTATGTGTGTATGTATTTATGTTTTTTTGTGACAGTCTTGCTGTTTGAGCTCACTTTGGAGCCCAGCCTGTTCTCAAACTTGAAATGATCTGCCTGCCTGAGCCTCCTGAGGGCTGGGATTACAGGCGTGCGCCACCATGCCTGGCTGGTGGGGGGTAGTTTTTTATTATAATGATTATTTGAGAAATAATTTGTGAGTTATTTCTAGACTTTTGATACTGCATTATTTTCTTGTGTTTACTAAATGTTTTACTTTCTTCGCAGAAATTGATCTCAGAACTGCAAAAGCTATTTATGAGTAAAAATGAGACCTATGTTTTAAAATTATGGCCCTTGTTCGTCAGACTTCTTGGAAAGGTAAGTGCTATTATTTCACCTCATTGGTAGATAGGCAGAGTGGTACAGAATTTGAATTACCCAAAGTGTATGATTTCAGCTAAGGCCCAGGAAAGTTACACGTTATCTTTGAAGCTTTAAACACGTGTCCACTTTGTGGTCCATTTTACACATTTTTTTGTGTTTTTTTCCCCCTCTATTTTGGGTGACTTTGTGGTTTGAGATGGCCTAGTGTCTAATGAGTGTTTGTAAGCATAGAATGGTTGTGCATATGTTAAATAACCTTTGCTCTGGCATGAGTTACAGTGCTGTTGTTTTGAGTTCAGCGGTAGGAGATCAACATCATATATTTAAAAAGGTGTCTTTAATTGGGAAAACACATAAAAGGTTGTGTAATGAATACAGTGCAACTTCGATTTGCAGGCATGATTTATTCCAGAAACATGCTTATAATCCAAGGCGCTTGGATGTCAAAGTGAATTTTCTTGTAAGAAATAATGGAAACTCGAGAGTTCATTCCACAGTGCAAAAATACTCCTAAAAATGATGTATTGTATTACAGTACTATGAATAATACAAAGTAATAAAGAAAATACAAAACACAAAGGACAAACAAGAAAACCTTCACGGCTGGTGTGCAGGAGACAAGCACAGATAACTGCAGGACAGTGCTCACGAGCACTGCTACAGACATTGCAGAGCTGTGGACAGATTAGTAGGAAAAGACCACTGGGTGCTGTAACACATGGTGGTATCTTCGAAGTAGTTTCTCAGGAAGACAGAGATATGCAAGAAGGATCTAACAAGTACTTATAGCCTAAGGGTTGTGAAAAATAGCGTATTACCTCCTCACCAGTGACTCCTTTCACTGAGGTGTGACAGCTGCAAGGAAGGCCAGGATTGAAGGGAAGGACCGAGAGACTTGCACCTGTGTCTAGCAACATGCTGTTTTCTTGTTCCTCCATAGTCATGATTACCCAGGACTCCTTGATGGAGATGACAGTCTGGCCAGAGGGAGAAGGCAGAGTATGCCCCGGGCCCCCTCATTCCTGTTGCACTAACTGGTAGGATGGGTCTGAGCTCTGGGGCCTCCGCTTCAGAGGGCAGACCGATCTCTGGTCTGGTGACCACCTTTGCATTCAGGGCATGGCCCAGGGGGCTTCTTAGGGCAGTTCCTCTTGAAGTGGCCTGGCTTTTAACAGTGGTAGCAGATGAATGTAGTTGTGGAGTTTTCTTGGGGCCGGGAGAATCAGACTTAGGGTCTGTTTCTCTTAGTGCTGCAGCAAAAGCAGCTGTTTTTTCTCGGTCTCTTTGTTTTCTTGCCTTGGTTGTCGCCTCGTCACAGCTATAGACTACTGAGGAGACAGTTCTTACTAATATCTCAAGTGAGCCATCTGGGGCAAAAGCCAGTTTTTGTAGCTTTTTCTGTCCAGCCTCCCATCGCATTGGGACCCCACAACTACTTAGTGTCATGTCCTCTCCCCAGCCGTCAGCACAGGCAGCAGGAATCTCGGTGCAGACCTCTCTGGAGCTCCACGTGCTCCTCTACCACAGCCTGTACTGTCAGGGGAAGAATGGCTTCCAGGGGGTCCCCCTAGGTATTGCACAAGGTCCTCCTGATTTACAGCTTCCGAATGGCTCTGGTGACCCCAGTCAACTAGACCTCTGAGTCTTCAGGAGTAGTTTGTATTCTCATACTCTCCAAGTCCTTGTTCAGCAGCTGCTCCTCGGCTGACTCTGGACCTTTCTGGTTCTAAACAGCAGGGGCAAGAGCGACTCGTGTGGCATGTACTCCCAGGGCTTTTTCCATGTTGGAATGATTCATGTGTGTCCGCGGGTGGACCTCCTCAGCCAGCGATCATAATTAATTCTTGCAAATGCCTTTGTGTGTGTGTATGTAAGTCAAGAGTCTCGCTGTATAGCCCAGGCTGGCCTCCAGCTTGCAGTGATCCTTCCTCAACCTCAGATACTGTTTATTAGAATGTTTTCCTTGCTGATCTATAGAAATACAAGTGATATGTGGATCTTGGTTTGTAACTTTGCTGGATTTACTAGGTCTAGTAGCTTCGTTGTGAATTTTTGTTTTTAAGCCATTCAGTAGAGTGTATTCGTTGTTTATGCCATTTATGTTATGTTACAGTTTTTTTTGTTGTTTTGCCTTTTTGAGACAGGGTCTCACTAAGCAGTTCTGGCTGGTCTTGGGCTCACTTTGTAGCCCAGGCAGGCCTCACATTTGCAGCAGTCCTCCTGCCTCAGCCTCCCAAGTGCTGGGTACTTTTTTTTTTCCCTGGTACCGGGAATCAAACTCAGGACCTCCCACTTGCCAGGCAGGCGCTGTGCTGCTGAGCTGAATCCCCAGTCCCTAGTGCTGGGTACATTATGCTAAGATTATATGTGTTTTCTAGTTTCTTAGCAGTGAAATTTTTTTTGTCTTTTGGAGACAGGGTCTCACTGTGCAGCAGTTCAGGATGGTCTTGAAGTCACTTTGTAGCCCAGGCAGGCCTCAAACTCAGTGATTCTCCTACCTCAGCCTCTTGAGTGCTGGGATTTCAGGCATGCACCACCACGCCCAGTTCCTTCAAATTGTTTACTTGTCATTTATTTATTTATTTTGTTAGATATTACTTGCATTTCAGTCATATGTAATATTTGGGACTGATTTTGAATTTATCCTGTTTGGTTGATCATGGGCCTTTTTTTTTGTTTGGTGCTGATAGTATTGAACCCCCAGGATCTGTGACAGAATTATATCCCCAGCACTTCCTGAGTTAGGGTCTTGCACAGTTACACAGGTGACCCAAACTTGTGAGTGATCCTCTTGTTTCCGAACAACCAGCGTTGGAATCACAGTGTAGGCGAGAGTGCCACTGTGCCTGCCTTTTTAATTATTTGCTTTAGCAGGTGTTGTTGTTTTCTACATTGAGGGTAGGCTTTTAGCTAATTTTTCTGCCTATTTTCATGTGCCTGAAAACATTTTTAATAGGGTTTCCACTTTTCTCACTAATACTGCTCATATTTTTCATATATGTGGAGTAGGCATTCTGAAGCCAAAAATGCTCCAAAAACCTAAAACTTGGTTCCCTCACTTGACATGAAAAGTGAAAAATTCCACACCTGATCTTACGTGCTGAGTGTCAGCCAGAACACGGGTGCATTAAAAATAGCGTGTAAAATGAACTCTAGGCCGTGTGTGTATATAGGGTGATTATGGAACATATATGAATTTTGTGTTTAGACTTGAGTTCTGTCCCCAAGATAATCTCATTATGTGTGGTATATGCCAGTATTCTCAAATCTGAAGTGTTTCTGGTCCCAGGGATTAAGGTACTCTCTCCACCTGTTCCTGTTTTCTTTCACATTACTTCATTGCAATTTGGTGTATGTGCTGCCAAAGTGAGCGCTGCAATTTTCAGTGTATCTAATTTTCTCGTTTTGTTTTAAAAGCGTTCTGTATGATACATTATCTATTTCGTCCAGCTTTGTTTTGTGATTATTTGTGAGACAGGATCACACCATGTAGTTCAGGCTGGCCTTGAGCTCACTTTGTAGCCTAGTCTTGAACTCACAACGATCCTCCTGCCTCAGCCTCCTGAGTGCAGGGATTACAGGTGTGTGCCACCATGCTCAGCTTTGTTTTGTGATCTTGCATTCTGCACATGTACATATAGTGCATTATTTTCTTAAATTCAGATTCCTAAGAATTAACATTTGCTGTAACACATAATGGGTTTGTTTTGTTTGTGATTTGTCTCCCTTTCAGACTTTGAAATCCTCAGGACATATATTGAGTGAGTGAATAAATGAATAAAAATAGTGCTTATATTTTGTTTCTTGAAGTTCAACAATTTAACGGTAGCAAAGTTTTATTAACGGTAGGAAAAGAAGCGCGCTCTGCAGAGTGAGTTTAGGCCAATTGAAAGTGGGAAAAGAACCGCCCCCGACAGCATGATCGTGGACTACTGTGTGAGCGAGAACACAGCAGCCTGATCGGTAATGTCTTGATAATTTTTCTCTTGCCTTAGACCTTGCATCGAAGTGGGAGTTTCATCAACTCTTTGCTACAGCTAGAAGAACTGGGATTTCGAAGTGGAACACCCATGATTAAAAAAATAGCTTTTATTGCTTGGAAGAGCTTAATAGATAATTTTGCTTTAAATCCAGGTATGTAAATAATGTAGCACTTTTTGTTTTCTCTGAATTTATTTTTTCAAATTACTTATTTATTTTTGAGATAGGATTTTCTTATGTAGTTCAGGCTGGCCTTGAATTTGAGGTGATGCTCCTACCTGTTCCATGGGGGAGGGATTACAGGTGTAAGCCACCATGCCGGGCCCATTTTATTTTTAGTAAGATAACAATGATACTTTTCTCATACTTTGGATTTATAGTGAAACTTAGTATCATCTTTTTTTTTTTTTTGAGGCAAGTTCTTGCTATTTAACGTAGGTTGGCCTTGAACTCGCTTTGTAGTCCAAGGTGGCCTCAAACTTGCAGTGATCCTCCTGCCTCAGTCTCCTGAGCACTGGGACTACAGATGTGTGCCACCATACCCAGCAGTGTCATTAACTTTAAGGAAATAGGAGTAAATCTGTAGTGAAAATAGAGTTCAAGGAGACATTATTTAAAACTTGATACATTTGTGTATTGGAAAAACTGAAGAAAGTGAAAAATATTTTTTGTGGTATTCCAGCACCAAGCTGAGCTCTTCGATGCCCTTTTTTCTAGTGGTGCTAGAAATTGAACCCTAGGTGTGTACCCTACCACTGAGCCACATCCCCAGCTTGAGTGACCGAATAGTTGTAAGAAATACTGGTGAAAGTCAGTCCATGAAATAACATGGTTTGATGTTCCAAGGTCCTTTTGAAGTCTTTTTGATACAATACTTGAATGCAGACTACCTCCTAAGTATTACCAGTCCTACTTGTATAGTACATATGTGATATAAATACTTGGTTTAAAGAATTAGATTTCATTTGCAGGCTGAATACTTAGTGATCTGATATTGTTATGGTAGTAAATGAAGTGAATCTGCTTAGATTTCTAAAATATAATCACTATCCTCAATAGTAATGTTTGATAGAAGTTGTTACTAGTTAACTTCAGAGATGATAGTTTTTTTAACACAGTGTAAAAATGTGTTTCTATTTTATTTCTTTATTTTTTAGTAGTTCCTTTTTTTGTGTGTGTGTGTGTGTGTTTTTTGAGGCAGGGTCTTGCTATGCAGTTGGCTTGAGCTCACTTTGTAGCCCAGGCTGGTCTTGAACTCGCGGTGATCCTCCTGCCTCAGCCTCCCAGGTGCTGGGATCATAGGTGTCCGCCACCGCACCTGGCTTTAAATAGTTCTTGAATCCAGGGCCTCTCACGTGATAAGTAAGCACTGTGCTGAGTCCCATGCCTATTCCCCATCCTTGCCTTAATTTTTTGTGGTACTGGGAATTTGAGCCCAGGCACACTCACTTCACCACTGAGGTACATCTTCATACCTTTTTATTTTGAATGGGTCTTGCTAAATTGCCCAGTCTGACCTCTAACTTTTTTTTTTTTTGGAGACAGGTTCTCACTGTGTAGTTCAGGCTGGCCTTGAGCTCACAATGTAGCCTAGGCTGGCCTCGAACTCGAGGTGATCCTCCTGCCTCAGCCTCCAGAGTGCTGAGATTACAGGCGTGTGTGACTGTGCCCAGCTCTCGTGGCCGCAGACCTTCACGGCCTCCTGCCTGTGCGCGTGGTGTGTGTGGGGCCATGTGGCTGTGCAGCAGTGTTGGGTGCACCCACTCTGCCTCTGTAGTAGGGAGCCAACGAGCCGTTCCTGTCCTGGAATTGTGCACTGGACCGTTGGTTGCCAGCGACCGTCTGGTGTGTTTTAGTCAGCTGGACAGCATCCTTGGTTCCAGCCCACGGAGCAGTAGTGTCATCCCCGCAGGGCGCAACGACCGAAGTATTGCAGACATGGCCGGATGCGCCCTGGTGGGAAAACCATCCCAGACACACGGCATCTAATAAAGACGCCTGTGCGGGGCTCCCTTCTAGCTCTGTTGGAGTTTGTCAGACTTTCGGGTAGAGTAAGAATAGCATGGTGGTTTTTGTTTCAAAATGTTCCAGCTGTATAAAAGATTTGCATAGCTCATTTTAAAAATGTAATCTTTCTTCTTAAATCATTTTACCTGTGTGCTTATTTTCTTTTAAGATATATTGTGTAGTGCAAAAAGACTGAAGTTGTTAATGCAGCCGTTGAGTTCCATCCATGTGAGAACAGAAACTCTGGCATTAACAAAACTGGAAGTTTGGTGGTATTTGCTGATGAGACTTGGACCTCACCTCCCTGCTAATTTTGAACAGGTAATGTTACATGCGTGAATACTTCATGTGATTTTTTTTTCCTGGTTTTTAAAAAATTATTACAGTGCTCTTAAATTTTGTAAATGTGGTCTTTTAGTTTTATTTCTGCTGTGTGTCAGTAGGCCGCAGTGTGTAAAAGGCCTTTTGCCTGCTCAGAAATGAGTTGACTTCCCGCAAAGGGTATTCTCCAGTAGGCTGAACTGAAGGCCTACAAGGCTTTCACGCCTGCGGGCAGTATTCTAGAAAGGAGTGTAGCTTTAAGAGATTTGTATCAAAGGGCTTAGAAATCAACTAATTAACGTAAGAAAAATAGTAAAGTGTTAAAGTGGGTATAGTTCAGTTTTTTTGTTTGTCCCTTTTCTAGGCTACAAATCATTTAATCTCATTGTAGTTATTTTTTGATAGGAATGGTTTTTTTCTTGTGTATTTTAATATGTTTTGACAGTTAGGTATTAATTTAAACCTGGCTTTTTTGGGGTTTTTTGAGACAGGGTCTTGCCAGTTCAGCTGGCCTTATACTCTTGTGTATCCTAGGCCGGCCTTGAACTTACTGCAATCCTCCTCCCTCAGCCTTTGGTCTGCTGGGATTATTGCTGGTCTTGAACTCCTGATTCTTCTGCCTCAGCCTTTGAAGTGCTGGGATTGTAGGCATGTACCACTGTACCTGGCTTTACAGTGGCTTTCTTACATTCCATATAAAGGAAAATTAGGGATTGCAGTCTTAGAAAGGGATTTAACACTTGAGCCATGTTTGTTTTTTTTGGTACGTTCTTAATTTTTTCATAAAAGGCTCTAAGCTGCGTGTAACATGAAGTAATTGAAATTGGGCATTGATAGTAACATCTTGTTGGTGTGGTTTGATTTTTTTTTTTTTTTAAACTGGGAATTGAACTCAGGATCTTGTGCTTGCCAGGAAGATGCTTGTGCTACTGAGCTATCCCTGGCTCCTAGTAATATCTTACTGGAATCATAATGGATTTTCTTGATTGTAGGTTGGAGATAAACTAATTGGAGTAACTGATTCAGTGATTTAAATGCGTGATCCTGGAGTGGTTTTTTTTGGGGGAGGGGGGTTCTTTTTGAGACAGAGTTTCACTATGCAGTGTAGGCTGGCCTTGAACTCACTTTGTAGCCCAGGCTGGTCTTGAATTCGCAATGATCCTCCTGCTTCAGCCTCGCACCTCAGCCTCCTGATCCTCTTGCCTTAGCTCAGCCTCCTGAGTGCTGGGATTACAAGTGTGCCTCAGCATGCCCGGCTGTCCTGGAGTGGTTTTAGAAATGAGGTTTTACTTGTCCTTGATATTTTCCAGGGATCTTTTCTATAAACCTTGACATCCGTGGTCTGTTGTCCAGTACAGTAGTAGAGCATGTATCTAGCATGAGACTTGGACGTCATCGCAGGCCCTAAGTTTGGCATCAGCACCAAAAAAAGGCTAAAACCAAGTCTGTCATTACTGCATAGAATAGTCAAGTAAATATTGTTTGAAAAGTTTATGTCTATAATTTTCTGTCTGGGATTTTAAAGACTGAAATGTATAGATAATACACATTTAGACAGATACAGTTGTAGTATGAAGCTTTATTTTCCTAAATTTCAGTTTTTAGTCTGGATGGGAACAACCAGTGTAATTCAGTATAGATTGAGAGTCCCTTATCTGAAAAGCTTAACAGAAGTAGTTTGCTTTTAAAATTTTCTCATGTTAACTGACCTCACATAAGGCTAGGCAAGTGTAGAATTTTCCATGTGTAGCATTGAGGGCTCAAAATAGAACAATTTCTGGAGTTTTCAGATTTTCAGATTACAGATGCTCAACCTTCTTCTTTTCTTTTCTATTTTTTGCTTGTTTGTTTTCTTGAGGCAGGGTCTCCCTGTGTAATTTAGGCTGACTTGAACTCAAGGTGTAGCCAGGCTGATGTCAAATCCATGGCATTCCAAGTACTGGGATTTCAGGCATGTGCCACCTAGTGGGGGTACTTAATCTTCGCATCAAAAATTTTAAGTTGCTTTTTTTTAACTTATTTTTTATTTTTATTTATTTTTTTTAAGTTGCTTTTAAAAGAAATTTAACTGTGTTGTCGCAGCTGTTAGAACAATATAACAGCATAGTTTATAGACCTTTCCCTTTCACTCAATAGGTTTGTGTGCCGCTGATTCAGAGCACAATAAGTGATTCCAGTGCTTCCCCTCCAGGAAATTCATCTCGTGTAACTGCTTCTCCAGGATTAAGCCCTGTGACTCCTGTACACAAAGGTAAGGGACAGACACTCTCCTTATTTTCCTCTTTTTAAAGGCTTTGAATGAAGGCCTGGTACTTTAAAAATCCATTTATGTATATTCTTGCTTTATCACTGAGTTTTCTTTTGCAGGGGTGGGGGTGATCGTGGGTGAACCCAGGGCCTTGTGCCTGTGGCAGTTGCCCATCCCTTTTTCTCTTCTGAGTGTTTTATTTGGTCTTCTTTGAGACAGGGTCTCGCTATATATATAGCCCAGTTCGGCTCGTCTCGAACTTGCAACGATCCTCCTGCCTCGGCCTCCCGAGTGCTGGGATTATAGACACCCTCTACCATGCCTGGCTTTTTGGAGTTTTAAAAATTTATTTATTCTGGTAATGGAAATTGAGCCCACAGTCTTCACACTGAGTTACTTCCCTGGCTCTTAAATATTTCAGTTTTGACACTGCATCTAAGTTGCCCATACTGCCCTTGAATTTAACACTCCTGCCTCATCTTCCTTAGTAGCTGAGATTATGCTACTTACTCAGCCACCCTTTGTTTTAGTGTATTGTTGTAGTTGGAGAGGGTGGATGCTTTCCCACCAGTATGAGTTTCAGTGCAGACAGCTTTTAGAATGGCCAGTATAAAGCAACATGAAATTTCTCTTCTTCTCGACCAGAATCTTCAAGCTTTGATTACAGACAGGTCTTACAGATAAAAGAAATGTGGCTTAGTGTGTTACAGTATTGAAAAAGTTATTTGTTGTTGTTATCCTTCTCATTCTTTAAGTTCAGAAAGACCTGCGAGGTAATGATTTCAACGCATAGATTAATACTTGGTATTTAAATTGTGTTTTTAAAAGTACATTTTCCTGAAATGGAATAAGCTAAATACATGTATTTAGGGAGCTAGTAACTGATATAAAATATGGTTGTTTAATTTGACCTTGTTTTCTCTTCTAAAGGTGCTTCCCCATATGGAGTTCCTGTAACTCCGCGGATGAACATGAGCACAAGTTTGGGTGGAATGGCAGCAATCCCCTCCATTCAGCTTTTGGGACTTGAGATGCTGCTGCATTTTTTGTTGGGTCCAGAAGTCTTGAGTTTTGCCAAACAACACAAACTTGTATTGAGCCTAGGTATTTGTTCTTAAAATAATTTTATTAAAACAGTCTGTCGTGGTGTGCTGTTGTGAGGTCTTGCTTCTTCCACAGCTCAATTATAATTTTATAATTGCTATTTGAATAAGTATAAATATTTTTAATAAGAGCACATGTGTTTAGATCATCTAAAATTTTATATTGAGGAATTTGTTTCTTAAATCTTGTGTTTTACATAATTGTCTTTTATTCTCCTTTTAGAACCACTTGAACATCCATTAATCAGCAGCCCTTCTTTTTTTTCCAAACATGCGCATACACTTATCACTGCTGTTCATGACAGCTTTGTTGCAGTTGGGAGAGATGCTTCTGGTAAATATTTAACAAAAATCTTTCGTATTGGGATCTTTTTTTATAAAAGATAAGAGCAGGGCATGGTGGGGCACATATGTAAACGTAGCACTTGGAGGCTGAAACAGGAGGATCACTTCGAGTTTGAGACCAACCTGGGCTATATAAGCAAGTTCAAAATGGGCCTGTACCTACATGGCAAGACCCTGTCTCAAAAAAAAGTAGATAAAATAGCAAATATTTGGCCTCCTGAGGCAGCTCAGTGGCAGCGTAGTTGCCTAGTCTAGTCCAATTTAAAAAGAACCTGACTTACACAGAGAAGTGAGTAACTTGTACAAAGTCATGTAGGAAATGGTGCGGTTATACTCATCTCCAGGCTGGGTGGGTTCCAGCGTCTGCATTTAAACCCTGTGTTTGTAACTTACTAAATAAATAACGAGGAAAAGAAATTTCAAAAATCAAACAATTGCTTCTAACTGGTGAGAAAATGAATCGCATCACTTGTGAAGTATCTGTGTTTTTCTAAAAAGTGAGTGATGGGTAAACAATACAGAAAATACAGATGGGAAGATTCAACTGTTCTTTGTTAGAAGACCTATTCACATGTAGTTGTTTCAGAAAATAAGTTTAGGTCTGGTGGCACACACCTGTAATCCCAGCACTCAGGAGGCGGAGGCAGGAGGATTGTTGTGAGTTTGAGACTAGCCTGGGCTACAAAGTGAGCTCAAGGGCAGCCGGAACTGCTGCATAGCGAGACCCTGTCTCAAAAAGATGAAAAAAAAAAAAGTTTAATTTTTTAAACAAATATTTCATTTTATAAATTTATTACTGGGATGAGTATTAACAAGGAAATTATATACAAATTATTAAGTATAGCATAATTTGTTATTCATTGTAAGGGAAAAAGGGGGAGCCTATGTGATCTTGTACCTCATTAAAAATACTTACTTTGTTTGACAGATGCAGTTGTCAATGCTATCTGGAAGGAGCTAATTAGCTTAGTGAATTCACTTACCGAATCTGGTAAGCACTGTGAAACTGATCAGATAATTTTTATTGTACCTAATTGTTTGGCTTTTAAAATTGTTTACATAGAGTCAAGTTTATAAACCGATTTGCTTTATATAGTTACTATTGATTTACTGCAGTAAAAAATTACTGTTGAGTAATAAGTTGTTACGTCTCTGAAGATATTCACCTTTGAAAATACGTTTTTTGGATTATGATCTCTTGGTTTTTGATAGGTAACAAAAAGGAGAGACCAGGTTCTGAAGTATTGACCCTCCTACTAAAATCTTTAGAAAGCATAGTGAAATCCGAAGTACTTCCTGTATCGAAAACACTGGTAAGTATGCCTGCAAGCGGGACTTTAAAACTTTTAAGTTGAAATTGACTTCTATATTGATATTTTGGCAGGTAAGGTTTGGGGGAGACTTTTTTTTGTACTGGGAATCGAACTCAGAACTTTGCATTTGCCAACCCTGCACTTGTGCCACTGAGCTATACCCCTGGCCCCTGGACAGACACTTTTTGGTGACAGGAACTGAACTCGGGACCTCGCGTTTGTGAGGCAGGCGCTGTGCGCTGGGGTGCCCCGGCCTGGACAGACTTGTGTGTCGCGTGCTTGTTAGCAGTTCAGCTGTACCGTAAGTGCCATTGCATTAACCTCACAGTCACTTAACGCCTCTCATAGATGACTGACGAGAAGTGTGGAAAGTCTCCTGTGGTATTTTCAGAAGTCACTACACAGAGAAAATGGGATAAAGGACACGAATTTATACTGAAAACGCAAATACCCACTAATTTAATATTAGGTTATTGAGTAACATTGCTGTTAGCACATGGTTTTAGATAAACTCTTTAGCCAGGAAAATGGCTTTGACACTAGTTTTTGAACTTGCATGTAGTAGAGGAGGAAAAGTGAAATTGAGTGTGGTTTTATAATAGCTGCTGATGAGGTGCGTATGGAATACCCTCAAATTCCTTTTGAGTGTTTATGTGCTGTGACAGTTAAATGCACTGTGGTTGTATACAAGAGTGGTGAATGGCAGACTTCAGAGCAGATGAGATTGGATTTCTAACTTTTTATTAACAGGTTGAATTTGAACAGTTTCCTGCCCTCATGGCTTCAGTTTGACTCATTTGTAGAGATGGCATGGAATGTAGTAATTAATCATTGAGTGAGTTAATATACAGAAAACATAGGCCAAGTGTAGAATAAATGATATCTATTATCAACATTACTGTGCTTCAGAGGAAAGTTTGTTTCACTAACGTAACTATCATATTGTTCATGACACGGAAGTATATAGGGTTTTTTTTGGAAGTACATAGTTTTTATATATGTGTGTGTATATATATATATATATATATGTGTGTATTTTTTTTTTGAGACAGGGTTTCGCTATGCAGTTCAAACTAGTCTTGAGCTCACTTTGTAGCCCAGGCTGGTCTCGAACATGCAGCGATTCTCCTGCCTCAGCCTCTTGAGTGCTGGGATTACAGGCGTGCACCACCACACCCAGGTAGTTTATGTTAATGTAACTATATAATGAATTTTCAATAGCAGTTGGGTAAACGTACTCAGACTTCAGTTGACAATCTTAAGCTCGGCCTCTAGTCTTTTGAAATACTGGAGTGATACCTTGATTGTCAAAAGGGTCCCAAGTGTGAACTATCCACTACTCAGAAAGCAAAGTTGAAAAAATTGTGCTTGATATTTCTAACTTGGCTTGATAGCCGAACCAAAAATCCAACTTGGGAAAAAATCTGTAGAGGCTGAGAGACTGCATCATGTGTCGATTACAAAGGGTGACATTTAAGTCTTCAGTGCTGCTTTTGCCCAGATAGGACACAGTGCTTGTGTTAGTGTATTAAAACATTCATCAATGTCTGTTTTATTTTGCGCTTTATTTGTGAAAACTATTGTATCCATGGCTCCAAAGAAAGTTGTTGATAATCAGCAGTATAGCTAAGAGGAAAACTTAGAACCACAATAGAGTTAAAGAAATCACTGCAAAATTTGTTAAAGTCTTACCCTTGATCTTAGCCAAAAGGATGAGAAGTGATTTTTTTTTTTTTGGTCTTTGAGACAGGGACTCTTGTGCAATTAAGGCTGGCCTTGGCCTTGCAATGATCCTCCTGCCTCAGCCTCCCGAGCACTGGGATTACAGGCTTCGCCACCACGCCTGGCTGAGAAGCGATTGTTGTTAAAAGTCCTAGAGAAATGAATTCAGAAGTATAATTTTTGGGCCTTAGAACCAGTTACTTGGTTTTACATTATTATGGAAAAATTTATTCCATTCTCAAATTTTTTGGTGTTTGAGTACAACTTTGTAAAGAATTGAGTTTGATAAGTGAGATATGACTATATAGTAGTTGCCTCTGTCACTACTGAATATATAATTCATTGCAGAATTTCTTCTAGCAGTGTAAAAAGAATTGTCTCATTCATTTTTCATTTTTTAAATTTTTTTGGTGTTTTTGAGACAGGGTCTTGCTGTGCAGTTCAGGCTGACCTTGAGCTCACTTTGTAGCCCAGGCTGGCCTCAAACTCCCAACAATCCTCCTGCCTCAGCCTCCCAGGTGCTGGGATTACAGGCGTGCGCCGCCACTTCTGGCTCAAATTCATTTTTGAGGCAAGCAGTTGAGTAAACACATTGTGGACACTCATTGATACAGCACTGTGTGCACAGATTGACGTCTGTTCTCACACATACCAGGTTTAGGTCTATCAGCATCAGACTCGAAACTGAAAGCATTGATTGTCCCGCAGGTAAAGGGCTGTGTCACTCTACTACTAGTTCTGTACTTCATTTTTTTAAATTTCTGTACTTAAAACAAATGAGAATGTATGAGTGACTCTTACCTATAATAAATACTGTGTTAAATGTAATGTAAAATTATATTTCATATAAATTGCATTAAATATATTGAAAAATTAATGTAATTCAATTATATTAAAATATAATTAACTCTAGTAGACTTTTACTAAGTGAAGTAGCATTTTTATAACCTTTTGTCTTTTTTAGGTCCTCATGGAAATCACAATTAAAGGACTTCCTCAGAAAGTATTAGGTTCACCAGCATATCAGGTTGCTAATATGGATATTCTTAATGCAAGTATCTTAAATGTAATATGATGAAGATTGGCCAAAAAGACGCTTACAACATTTTGTTTTTCTTTTTTAAAGGTGTCACTTAGTTGTAAAACTTTTAGATTATTGGGTTTGAAATGTTTACTAAATTAATGAAAAAAGATATGCAAAATAATAGATTAATGTAAACAGTTAAATACAGTGCCAAAAATGGACGCCAGGGGAAAGCTCCTTTTAATGTATGATAATAGTAGTGCTTGTTGTTACAATTGGGGGTGGGTTTTTTTGTTTTTTTGCTTTTTTTTTGGAGACAGGATATGTAGCCCACAGTGGCTTTGAACTTACGGTGGTCCTCCTACCTCCTATCTTAACTTCCTGGGTGCTGGGATTTCAGGTGTGCACCACCATGCTCTGCTCATTGTTTTTTGTTTTTGTTGTTCGTTTGTTTTGTCTTCTTGAGATAGCGTCTTACTATGCCATTCAGGTTGTCTTAAACTCACTTTGTAGTCCAGGCTAGCCTTGAACTCAGTATATTGCCCAGGTTGCCCTTGAGCTGGTGATCACCCTGCCTCAGTCTCCCAAGTGCTAGGATTACAGGCCTGTAACTGGCTGTTTTGCTGTTTCAAATTTTGAAAGTTTAGGATCCTAGTGTGAAATGTACTTTTTATCTTCATCATGTAGGTATTGTAGGTCCAGCAAGTTTTAAGTTAATACTCTTTTATATCTGTACTCGCACCATGTTTTGATCTCAACATCCAGTTCAGCTGTTTTTAGAATATAAGTTAATTTTTGTATATAGTTTCTTTAGAAAACTTGCTTTTGTTACATCCTGAGTGATGCTAAGGTCAGATATTTTATGCCATGAAGATACTACTTTTTACGTAATGGGTTGTAATTCAAAAGATTGACTTCATTTTTTTTTTCTTCGTCAGGGAACTCCAGCTTTGTTCTTAATTCAGTTAATTTTCAGCAATTACCTCCGGGAATGTGGTACAGCAGATGAAAGGTAAGTTTGAACTTTAAATAATTTGATACTTCTTTGTGTATAATGGAGTGTATAGTGAATGTGTCCATTATACAGGACTGTATAATGAATGTGATTCTGTTTATGAAGTATTTCATTACATTACCTTAAAGCTTCACACTCATTTCTCACGAGCAGTTTTTAGAACTTTGTTACTGCACAGTAGATGTATTTTTGCACAGAGTACTTACATGGTTGTAACTTTTTTCTTCAGGTTTTTTCTCAATCTGGAATCACTTGTAGGCTGTGTGCTTTCTGGTCCAACTTCACCACTAGCTTTTAGTGACTCCGTTTTAAGTGTTATCAATCAAAACGCAGTGCAGTTGGAAAATAAGGAGCATCTCTGCAGAATGTGGAGCATTATAGTCACTCCATTGACCGAATTGATTAATCAGGTAGGATGTGTCTGCTGCCTAATTTTCCTTTAGATTTGTAAAATTTCTTTTATTAGAGCAGTTGAGAAAATGGATTTTTGTTTGTTTGTCTTTCTGAGACAGGGTCTCACTATGCAGTTCAGGGTGGCCTTGAGCTCACTTTGTATCCCAGGCTTGTCTTGAACTTGCAAGGATCCTCCTCCTCCAGCCTCTCGAGTGCTGGGATTACAGGTGTGGGCCACCAAGCCCTGTAGTTGTATAATGTTTGGAAGTATACTATTTTTTGTTTTTGTTTTTGTTTTCGTTGTTTGGTACTGGGACTCAAACTCAGGACCTTGCGCTTGCCACGCAGGTGCTTGTGCCCCTGAGCTGTATCCCCAGCCCTCAGCATGGATTGTAAAACTATACGGCTTACATATGATACGTAACTAACTTTCATGTTTGAGTCTTTTCAGTAGTCGTACCAATAGGGACTAATAACCATTTTGAACAGGCTGTATATTACAACAAAGCCACCGCCCTTAAAATTACTTAGCATTACCATTGGTCAAGAATTTGTGGAGAGTTGATGATTTCACCTTTACTTTATTTTATTTTATTGTATTTTTCACCTTTACTTTTAAAAAGCTGTCCATATTGACGGAACATGAAACACAAGTTCTCTACTTATGGAGGGGTTCTGTGAGCTGATTCTTTTGTAACTCCAGAGAGAGTAGGACTCCAGTTTGGTGGCACACGTCTGTGCCCTGCATAGCTCGGGATTGAACCCCAGGTTTGCAGTGATAGGCAGGCTTACTATCGCTCAGCTGCATTCCAGCCCACCGTAACTTTCCGTTGTAGTGATACAAGCTACTCAGACTAGCACATACTATTCAGCATATTTTTCTGGAATCAAAACGTTTTGCATTTCTGAAAGACTCCCACTGTTTGAAGAGCAAAGGACATTTGTAAGACCTTGCTTAAATATGTAACATTTAGGGAGTTAATTCTTGGATTATTTCTTAGGACTTAAATTCCACACAGTAGTTCTGGTTTTTGGAAACATCAAATTACTACAAGTTGGTAATTAAAACGTGCAATTTGTGTTTTTAATTTAATTTTTTTTGGTGCTGGAAGGTGGAGCCAAGTGCTGTATCCACAACCTCAACAGCATGAACTTACTGGTCTGGTTCTGGAGGCCAGAAATAGCAGAAGGTATTGGGTAGGAGTGTTTGCTTCTGGACTCGGAGGAACAACCTGTGCGTTCCTCTTTGATGATTGCTAGCAAGCCCATCCCCAACCTTTCTTTTTCTTTTTTTTGTTTTTGGTTTTTCTCCGGTACCGGGAACCGAACTCACGACCTTGCGCTTGCCAGGCAGGCGCTTTGCCACTGAGCTAAATCCCCAGCCCCATCCCCAACCTTTCTGAGACGGGATCTTGATCTGTAGTCCAGGCTGGACTCAAAGTTGGGATCCCTCTGCCTTAGCCTCCCAAATGCTGGATTACAGATGTACATCTTTATGCCCCCAAAACCTTTTATTTTACTGAAAAATTTTCTTTCCCCCTTGCCTTTTTTTTTTTTCTTTTGTCTTCGTGGTAGTTGGGATTGAACCTAGAGCCTTCACACTGAAGTACATCCCTCAGCCTTTTACAGTTTTTTTTTTCTTCCAAATTTTGAATTTCAATAAGTAATGGCAAACTTTCTAGACACTGAGTACCCAAATCGCAACTCAAAACCTATTTATTTATTGCAAAGTGCCAACACTGCAATTGAACCTGAAATTTGATGCTCAGTTGCTTGGGCTACTTGGCTTGAATGGCTACAGCGCACTGCCATAGATTCACCACCGCTGTGCTAAGTTTCCAGGCCGGGGCTTGAACTTTTGAACCTTCCTCAGGAGTGTTCGATTCACAGGTGTGTGCTACTGCATCTGGCTCTGACTTTTGACGTTCAGCTGTATCACTTAAATCTCTGCCTGTGTTTTCACATGGTATTTTTCCTTGTATCTTCTCTGTGCCACTCCTCATTTTTCTTCTATGAAAAGAATACCATTCCCTGGACCTTCTGCAGTATGACCTCTTTTTTTTTTTTTTTTTTTTACATTTGTAAAGATTTTAGCCAAGCATTGGTGGTACATGCCAGCAGTTCAAATATTCTGAGCACCTGAAACAATTACAAGTTTAAACCCAACCTGGACAACTTACTTAGTAAGTCCTTGTCTCAAAAAAGGGGTGGCGTGGAGGTGTAGTTCAGTGTGAAGGCCCTGTATTCAATCTCCTGCAGAAAAAAAAGGAAAAAAAAGTAATCTTTTCAGGTAAGGTCATGCACATTCCCAGGGATTAAGGGGTGGGAGTTTGGTGTCTCTTGAATATGTTGATTGTGTATGTTACACATAGTAAGTATATTACTCTGAAGGGTTAGAATTATGGAAATTTGTCTAACTATTGTTTTTCTTATTTCAGACCAATGAAGTAAATCAAGGTGATGCCTTAGAACATAATTTTAGTGCCATCTATAGTGCATTGACTTTACCAATAAATCATATTTTTTCAGCACAGAGATTTCCTGTGGTAAGGCCATATCAAGTTTTTGTGTATAAGGAATTTTTACTTTTCCTAAAATACTTGCATCTCACCCTTTATAATCTGCAGTAGTAATTGTTCCTTAAATAAGACTTCAGTATGAATTATTAGCATAGGTGAAAGTTAAATAGTGGAAATTCCTGTTTACCGTCAATTGCTGTTACCGTGCTCCTCATTTTTGAAGTTTTAGCTTCTTGAGAGGTGTGGGTAAGGCTATTACACTAGACTCTTCTGTGTTAAATGTTACACTGTTTTTAAAATCTAAAAGTTCATTGATTCTACTAGGTTTCTGATTCACAGGTGTACACATACAAAATTTCTGTATTACTAGGTAACCATGAAGGCTTTACTTCGAACTTGGTCAGAATTATACAGAATATTTGCTCGCTGTGCTGCTTTGGTGGCAACTGCAGAAGAGAATTTATGTTGTGAAGAACTTTCTTCTAAGATAATGTCCACTTCGGAAGATGCAGCCTTTTTGGTGAGTTTGTCCTACTAAAACTCCTTTGAATTTAAAGGGTTCTTTTCAGGTAAAGGACTTTTTAAATCATTTACTGAAGCTTTTATAAGAGACCAAGTTAATAGGAAAGCAGAAAGCCTTGTGAAACTCTTCAGGCCGGTGTTGTAGAACCATTAAGAGTAAAGCTGTCTGTCTCCTTGTGCTCGTGCCATTGCACATAATACCAGATTGTTGCCTTCTTGGACCTTATTTTCTCATCTGTTCAGTCTTCAGAGTCAGTCTTGAATGTCTTACAGTTTTGTTTTGTATTTTGAGGCATGGTCTTGGTATGTAGCCCAGGATAGCCTTGAACTCTGCACACGCAGTCCTCCTGTTTCAGCCTGCCATGTGCTGGGATTATGGATACCTACCCCCTTGTCCAGCTGCCAATACTTTATTATCCCCATAGAATAATCTCCCTTGTTGTGACTAACACAAGTAATTTACATAGTGACAGTCACATGTGTATGTAAATTAGCGTCCTTGCCCATGGAATCCTGTCACATTTACTTTTTTTTTTTAAATTTTAAAGAGAGTAGTACATGAGAAACAAACAAAAAAATAGAACAGTAGCAGCATACCAGTATCACGAACATAAACAAATTGAAGCAAGAACATTCAAAGTGATACAGGACCTCAAGACAAATTAATACAAATCAGTACTGGTTGTTACATTGCATA